TGAAGGGGGTAGCGCGGTCGCGGGCCAATGTCCAGAGGACACGGCTGGAGGTGAGGTAGCAGCCGACGATGGCAACGAAGAGCGGCAGCATGGAGACGATGATGAGGCCGAGAGAGCCGCCGCGGGTGCCGGTGATTTGGAGGTAGATTTCGGTGAGGGGGAAGAGGTAGGGGGCTTCGAGAACGGCGTTGAGGTCGGTGATGCCGTAGAAGATGACGATGAGGTAGAGGAAGGCAGTGAAGAAGCCCATCACGTACTGGGCGAGCATGCCGAGGGGGATGTTTTTCCCGGGTTTGGGGACCTCCTCGGCCAGGTGGGAGATGACGTCGGGGGTGCCGACGGCGAAGGCGCCGTTGAGCATTCCCAGGCAGAAAACGAAGCCGTCGCTGCTGTATCCGGCTTCGTTGAGCCAGTCGCGCCAGACGAAATCGTCCGTGGCGTAGGGCTGTCCGTTGACGTGGGGCATCACGGCGCAGACAATGACGGTGACGAGGAAGCCACCGACGACGAGGAATCCGCCCAGGGATTCGATCATGGGGAGGGCACGGTTGGCGAATGCGACCAGGAAGCAGCAGAGGATGGAGCAGATCAGGTAGGCGATGAAGACGTGCCAGCGCTCGATGGTGTAGTCGGGGTGGAACAAGGCGTATGCGGACACGACCTGCGTGCCTAGAATCTGCGTCGTCGAGGCAGCACCGAAGATCCAGGCTAGGAAGTTCCACCAGCCGGCGAACCAGCCGCAGACGCGACCATATTTTCCTGCTGTGACGGATGCCCAGTGGTAGACTGTAGAGGTCAGTGTGTTGTTCTGAGTATATGCGTGGTGAAAGACGAACCTCCACCGGATGATGGCATGGACGAGGCAAGTTCAGCGAGAGATGCAGCAATGAACCAGTAGAAGAATGAGGCTGCGATCCTGTGAGAACATTAGTATTGACTTTAATAAAGAATTGCTGTGGCAGTGGACATACATCTCATAGATCACACCGGGCGGACCTCCATCATAGATAGCCGTAACCTAAGATGATAGAAAGCGTCAGTTATCGGACGGTCGGAGACAAGCAAATCTACAGATGACGACATCTATAAAATAAAAACGATTGAAGAAGTCACTTACAATACTCCCACCCAAAGCAATCCAGGTGTTTCCACTAGTCAAAGCCAAACCACAAATGTTAATGAAGCCAAAATTGCGCTCGAGCTCCTGCTTGTGGCCAGAAGCGTTGATCGGCACATCCACGGTGGATGGACTGTCAGAGTGTTGTAAATCGGTGGCCACCACAGGATCAACCTGCTGCTTGGGCTCGTGCTCGAACTCCATCGTGCTCGTCGATTCCAGTCTTCTTCAGCACACAGACATAGAAAATGACAGGGATGGAGATATGAACAGGAACAGATTATGTTTGAAGAACGGCCAGGAGCAGCAGCAGCAGCAGCAGCAGCAGAAGAAAATTTTCCGAGCTAAAGCACGATTAATATGCAGGACTCAGAACCTAAATTGCCATTTAAGTGAACACAGTTTTCCTGCATGACTGATCGTACGACGAGGGGGAAGAACAGCCTGTCGCTAATGCATGCGCGATCGGAGGCCAAGAAGCACCGGTTGCCAACGACGGGACGCGATAATGGAATTGTGGATAGAACCGGTCTGTTAGTCCCTGTTTAGTTCAATGCTAGTGGTTGGACCTGAAAGTTTAATTGATGCGTTGTTTAAATTGTCTGGATATGAACTTTGCCTGGAGGCAGGGATCGACATGGTTCCGGGGGTCGGAATGCAGGAGACGGAGAGGAAGGAATTTGGGATTGTGAGATTCTGATGATGAGCTTATCGATCAGGCACGAGATCAGATCGATCTATTGTCCCTGCATACCGGCTGATTGATATCAGAATACTATGAAAAAGACGTTGCTACCTCTGGTTCTATTGTCATTGTGTTAGTACGATTGTTTGGGTCTTGATGCACCACCTCGCCCACCAGATTGTGAATTGAACTGTAAGATGAACAGTTCTATTCAATGGACAGCACATAATCGGTGTAACAATTCTACAGTATACAGAGAACTGTGCTGGTTATGGATAACTTGCCTTGACACTCATTCGAATAGCGAGCCCTACATGGTTATCCCTTGCCGGCAACTCTGGCGGGAGGTTTCGCCACATCATCGGCGACAACGAGCAAAGCTTATGAGGTTGAGTGCAGTGCCTGGAGCTCATCAACCCTGTCTACTTACCCCTTGTCAAATACCACGACTGGTGGAAATGCTATCCGCATGTTTAGAATGTCATTTTAACTGTCAATGGTCGTCCTCCATCTTGCCTCTGTCCCTCGCAGTGTCCTGATCCCGCCATCATGATTTGGCTCAACGTCCACCTACTGCTGAGGACACTAATAGGCGACTGTTAGAATTAGCCATGCTTGATGGCTAAGGCCCGAATAATAGCCTGCCAAGTCCTAGATCCAGGTACTTATGAAGCAATTCCAGCTGTGAAGACTGCGAGAGACACGCACCCAACACTCAACTCAACACCCTACCGGTAAAATGTTAGCCAGCCACTTTTCTTGCCAAGCAGACCAATTAATCCCATAGCAAACTAATCAACTTGACACGAAGCTAACCATAAGGCTAGTCTATTGACAAAAGAGGCCGTTCCGTTTCCACCACTAGCCCAACCCATCTCATATGACCGTGGAGTCTGCCTACAAACAAACCAAAGCATCACACAGCACTACTTGACCAGCAGTCACGATCCCATCAATCTGTATCACGACCCTCACAGCCTCACTCACCACTCAACATCACATACCCAAAGCATGTTATATCCGTGGACCACCAGCAAGCCAAGCAACCGAGGGCCGCCCGGACCGAACCCCTGAGCACAGATCATCCCGGGGCAGTAGTATATCCGCTTAGCCAAACCAATTTGTCACCGCAATCGGCCATCATCCGCGATAACTACTGAACTAGTTTGAAACCACGCATGGAGTTAAGTAAAAGTGACTCCACTCCCAGCCAGGCAACCCTGAAACTGAAGGAACATGATTCGTCCTGCCTCATTGATTTAGATTCTTTTAACTTGCTAAAATGCTGCGTAAGACGGACGCTGCGCTAGTGGAGTTCAAATATCCTCCGCGGTGGGGATTGAGTGCGCTCCGACACGCTAAGATTGAGACTGGTTGAAGTTTAATTCATTGCTTTGGATTCTGGACCTCGTCGATTTGTGTTTGGATTTCTATGGTCGGATGGTCGGATGTTGGTTAGCGAGGGTTGGGTCTAGAGCACAGGGCTGTAGGGAGATTTCTCTTCGAGGTTTGTAAGTTTGTGTAGAGTGAGCATTGGTTTAGCGAAAGTGGAATTAGACTAGCTGTCTGCAGCTAGAGAGGTCGTTTCGGTTAGCTGGTGGTTTCAAATGGTGCAGGGATACTATTTTGCTCACGGATTGAAACATTGGCTGTCTTTGACATCGGGTAAAGGATGGGCAGGGGATCAGAAGATATTTCAGCCCAGAGGCACCAGACTAGATCCCACAGATGAACGCCTGCCTTCGTCTCGGTTCCTGGTACGGTGTGCTAGTTTCATACTCGTAGTTATTGACCCTAGCCTATTTCCTAACTTGCCTGCACATGAGACCTCATAAAATGTTTGGAAAATGAAAGAATGGATTAGTATTTGTGATCTGTTAGTGGCAGATAGACATACGAGTATCCAACACATATCATCATAGTAATACATCTCACTTTCCTGCTCCATGTCTACAAAACACTATATATCTGTCTTGATCTACTTGGACACAAAAGTTCTGGCATAGCATCCATCTTCAAGAAAACTAGCAAAGGTGGTCTATTCAGAAACTTCAATTTCTTACATTGGTGATGAAGAGAAAGGCACTGTCGAAGTGAGATCATTCTTCACAATGCCAGCCCTTCCACGCCGAAATTGCACATACCTGACGAATGTACTCTTTTGCTTTGGTCCCCCGGACTGGGGTAGCTCCATGAACAGGAGAACAGGTTGTGGGAAGCTCTGGATAGCATCGAAGTTGTGATCTTCTCAGTGTGAATCTGGGGGAGGAAAACATAAGAATCAGGAGGTTGAGGTTTACTTTCGTGATGGAGAATGTACTTGCGGTATCTGCAGCATCCTTCAATATGCATAGTACTCATCAAACATACCCCTTACTCAACATTCGATGTCATATTCGGCTGGATATATGTCCAGCTCGTAGCAATCTTAAGGTCAATCCGCTGAAATAGACGTCTTGGTCAGATACTGATGTTCATGTTCATATATGGTGTATCCATTGGCTAGAGCGCCACTGGCTTCTCAACCGAATTACGAGATTCGGGTCTGTTTGGGATATCAGACTGTCTGTCTCGAGCAAGGCAAGTAGGAGGGGCTGGCAATTCGGGTGAAATGAGACACGGTTGGCAATTCCTTGACTGCCGTTGCTCTACGGGCCTTACATAGATGGCACTATCTGGTAGCTTATCGCTCATAGTAGTTGGGTTGAGGATACACAGGTCTGATTCGAAATGAGTGATGAGATTGATGGCATTTTCGTCCTAATGATGAGTTGAGATAGAGGCAGTAAGCATGCATAACTTGCAATATCTCAAAATGATTGACTTGCACTCTTGCAGCTCACTATAGACACTGTGACTAGTCGGCTCGTACATCCAGAGTGATTGACACATGTCTCGCTGGACACATCTCAGCGACGTCTTGGATAAGCGATGGCTTGACAAAGGAACAGAAATATTATGTGAGGGGCTGTAGCGATCTGAGGTGGGCAAGTGAAGACGTCCAAGCCCAAGTCAAGCAGAATGATATGTGAATGAATCCTTTGCAATGGTTACTACAATGGGCCAGTCGAGACAGTGTGCCATGGCGGCTGTTCTGTTAGTCCTACTGTCATGTGAAACGGCGACGATGCCATGCCTGGAAGCTATCTGAAGGACTGTATCCTACAATTTACCACCTTTGGGCAGAACACAGCGGCGTCATTGGAATTCGATATTCATGATAGCCTACGACACCCAACATCGTGCACGTCCCGATGGATAACAGCTATGGTCATCACCCGCGCGCCATGCGTCCTGGCACGGACTATGACCTCTCGCACACTCTGGATGACTTGTCGCAGGTTATCAAAGAAGACATACCCGCGATAGCCCCAGGTTCACACGTGTCAAAAGCTAGAGACAGCCGGATGTGTAAATAATCTAGCCAGCACGATTGGACGAGTAACATCCCAAGCAGATGAGCAGCATGTGTCCGGGCAGGCCCAGAGCAGGCTAGCTGCAGGATGCGGGGTATATACACACACCCATCAACTTGAACCGGGCCTTGAAGCTTATAGCGGTGACAGCTGGATGTAAGACATCATTCTTGGACGGAACAGGTCAATGCTCATTGAACCTGACCTGGCTGGATGCCGGTATGCTTACTGCCTTGGTCCCGAGCCCATGGCCGCCCTCAGATGACGCACGGATTGCATACTGGACGGCCGACACGTGTCCGTCTGCCCGCGCGTCCGGATGCGTGCAGTTCTAGCTTGTAGACAAGGCACGGCCAGAGTCGGAAAGTCGACTATGTACACTTCGTATCGACAGAGATCGGAACAAAGAGGGGGCGGGAGTTCACGCGTGACTCAGTATGGCTGCAGAGACCCTAGTTGGCAATCTTCCGAGCGCAGCGGTCCTTCTTTGTCAGGCTGACCCTGCTCGGCCCGGTCGTTGGCCTCTGTGGCTGAGGGATCCATGCTTGACCCCATTGACGAGGATGAATGTCAGTCAGTCAGTCAGCAGATGTGGACGATGGCAGACTGCGGGGTTCTTCCGATCTTATCTCCAGATACCAGGTATGCAGCAGACGGGATTCCAGGATGTGTGTATGTACTCGGCCGATAGGTACTCCACCGCACTAGATCATCAGCATTGAAGACAGAACAACTCACCGTGCGGCCGGTAGGTGCATGAGCGCTCAACTCAAGTGCAATGTATCCATCTGTATCTCAAAAAGAGGAACACCGTAGTGATGTCACTTGAGGCAGCGCTAATGACGGCCAGACGCGGCTGGCGAGTGTCTATCATAGATGGAAGAGGGGCTGCGGTGAGAATCAAAGAAAAGTTGTGTGAGGGGTAACTGGAAATCACCCCGCCATTGACGCTTTGGGCATCAACAACAAGCCGTAGAGCAGGACAGCCTTGTCTAGACTATCACCTATGTGGACTGTAGACCCTCTGTTAGTTAGTGAAGTTAGTATTCACCGGTCGCCTGCCGGTCGCCTGCAGAACAAGACACGCCATTCTGCCATTTGCCCCCAGCTGAGAGGAACTAAATCGAGTGGATGGATACTATGCAGATGGTAGATGGTTAGTGGCCACCGCCACAGCAACAAGAAACAACACTAATCCATGCCGGTCACGAGACAGATCCAACGCCTGAGGAAACCAACTCGGACTAGTGCTTCCGCGTCAATTCAAAATAGTCGATGCTTGACAAATTCACTATGATAATACACCGGCAAAGAATAGGAGCTCGCCTAGATATCCATCTACCCTCGTTTGCCGCTGACACATCCAGCTCGATCTCGATCTAGATCCCGCCTCCTCGGTTGCGGGAATTTACTGTATGTCTTCTGTCAAAGAATCACTGTTATGTCCGAAGGCGGCGATACTGTCGCCATCATCGGAGTAGCGGGACTCTGGTGGCATTCGTGGCGGGGTAACTAAGGGAGTATATTCCAGAGAGAGACAGGGATGTGACTAGTAGTATCTGTGCTGATGAGTTGGTCTTCTTCTTGACCTTCGTTTAAACAATAGCATGTGATGGTATCTGGTATTGAACCAAGAGATGTTTATTTGTTTTGTAAGTATACAGGCAGTATTGACGGTGTCTAAAACTACTGAATATGTCCATCCAGCACTGGTATTAGAGAGAGAGGAGTACCTATAATATTACCCTTTGGCATTTCTATACTCAGACACGAATTCCAGTAAATACATATCCAGTTTCAGACCATCCAAATCATACAAAGACTTGTAGTACTTCACTCCTTGTCTCCCACAAATCCCTAAGGAAACTGGACTGTATCCACAGCACTGCAGCCCAAAACCTTTTCTCCTCGCTCCTTCAATCCCATCCATCGCCAGCTAGCTAGCTATCTACCTATTACCTCACCACCAACCCAGAAGCTTCAGCACAGATACCACAAGCAACCGTGCGCCATCATCAAAGCGCACACCTTCGTACTTTTTTTGACTTCCCGGGATGATGGGTAGTAGATTGGGCAGGACAAAGTAGGTTTTGATAGCCAGCCTTATTCGTATAGCTTTAGATTTTTTACTTCGCTTGGGGGGAGCACGGAAGGGAAGTTTGAGGCTTTGGGTGCAGTGATCAGCATATTGATTTCCACTGGTGAATAGTGAGCTGCTGCTTGAGTGCTAGATTTGGCTTTCGTACTTTCAGTGTTTAATAGTTATGTAGTGGTGTGTGGTGATGAGGGGGTTGGGTAGGTTTGGATTGTGTATAATGTAGGTTAATTAATTATCTTGGGGGGTATATTGAGACTGCTACTGGTCGTGATACTGCTGGTGTTTATTTTAGGATTGAATAACCATCATCTCTTCAGTAGTATCCAGTGGTACTTACTTAGACGAGACCTCATCGTTATGCTACCAATTGATGTCCAAGTTGTGTTGGAGGGGTAACGGCTCAATCTCAGCTGTATATATTTGTGTTACATAGTGCCAGTGCATATATATGCACAAGTGCAAAGTCCCCTGCTTAGTTGATATGGGTTACGATGCAATCAAATGGAGAATAAATTGAAATTGGAGTGTATGCCATACAACGCCCAAACAAGCAAGGTGAACGTTAATCCTAACTCCAATGTGAAGAGGACGCTGAGAGCCAACCGATCTAACCCGATCAGGATCCGGATGCATCGGATGAAGCAGCGACCCAATAATTGGGCTGCAGTTCTGCAGCGGACTAAAATCTCCTGGTGATGGTTACACAAGGAGCACCTAAAAACAAAAGAGATTATTATTATTATTTGGCATGCGTTAACCTCAGGACGAATTAACGAAGATGATGTTTCACCGTTAGAAGAAACAACAGCCAAGCGACATACGTATACTCGACTCTATTTTAAGGTTGTAAACAACAAACAAACATCCACGAGTGGTACGGAGTCAACCCAACAACTGAACTAGACTACGCGGTCTCGGTCTCCATCGCAAACATTGGTTCGCTGCCCCAGCACTGCCTATCTACACTCTACAGAGGACTGGCTTATCTTAGGCTGGTCTGGTCGGCTCGGCTGTGTCTAGTAAGTTTAGTCTAGTGGCAGTGAGTTGTGGCACGTATGCACATCCACTTTTTCTACTGATCACTGATCGTATCATGTGTACGGTTCGCCCTGGCCCAGACATCCACCGCCAGTGATGTTCGGATCATCGTTGTTCATCGCCTCGAATTTTTGCCTTCGAGGGACGGCCGGGCAGGCGATTCCTCGGTGAGGGGCAATTCTCGGGCACGGAGGCTTCGACGAGTGTTCGATGAGATTGCCTGTTCGGGTGGGATCGACGTTGAGCTGTCTGTCCGGCTCTGCGTTGAACCGTGGTTCGGGGTTGGGGATGGTGTCGGGCTACGCGGATATGGTAGGGTTTGGAGATGCCGAGAATTAACCACGTCTCCTCCTCGTGTGGTTGAGGATGGGGGGAAGGGACTCGTATACAGTACGGTTCCCGCGTTATTATTGATAGGGTGGATATGATTGGTTGGCAGTTCCCAACCGTCTGAAGAGCGTTGTTTTTGTTTTGCTCTGTTCGTATGGAAGCTCGATACGGAGTACGTAGTAGGATGGGTTCATCTCAAGAGGGAGGGATGTACCTGGTTGCTGGGAAAGGGTGATCAAACCCGTCGGACTCCTAATCTGATGGATCGACTGTTCTTGATGCTTAGCTTGGCGCTTAAACACGGAGTCGCCTCAGTTATCAGTTCCTAACGCAGGAGCCTTGCTCTGGGTTACATCCGTGTTTGATGTCTACTTAGCGGTCGATCCGGCGAAGCGCTTAAGCGGCCTGCTTCACGATCGTATCGAATCGCCTCGAAATTGAGACGCAAGCGCATTTTCCAGGCGCTTCCATATAACGAGCAGCATTTATAGTTCCTAACTTGCTTGAATCCCTGCTCGAAAACAAAGCCATCGTCGTCATTTCCTAAGCTGGACAAATGAAGCAGCTAGTATTCCTGGATGCCTCTCTGGTGCCAGGGAGGGATCCTGAGTAGTCAGGTACTAGGTACATCCTGCCACCGCCTCGCACCCGGTCTAGAGCTGCAGCGGCAGGGATGTGCCTTGAGGATAGTTCACAGCCAGGCTGTACGGTGCATGTAAGTCCGCGGATGTCTTACATCCTGAGCTGCACGTCTGCACCAACCAGCACGCGGCCTGTCAGGAGTGGGATCCTCTGCCGATTTAGACTCACCGTAGCGGCTGCTAGACTAAGGCCGACTAGAATATTCGAGGCGGGTTTCAGCTGGGTATAGCACCAAGTTGCACACCGGGGCAGGCAATCAAAATACTGACTTGCCTCGGTCGTGTGCCGCCATGAATAATTTGACAGGCCCAAATCCACGAGACCAGTCCAATCATCACAGCTTCAATAGTCAGGAGCATCCACCACGGGCGCAGGGAAAGCCGAAGAAAGTCGACAGCGGCAAGTCAAAGGCTCAACGGCCGAGGTGCACCGGAAGCGCTAACCCGAAGCGGTACCGAAGGTGTCTACACGCGACGCGGTTTGTTGTATCTGTTACATAATCTGCTCGAGGCAGTTTGCCCGACAAAGACACCAAGTCATGAAAGTTATAGTGCACAGTAGGAGAGACGCCCTGGAGAGGCGACTCGTTCGGGGACTGTCCGTGCTGGCCTGGAGGGGCACTGACCAATGGCAACGTGGCAAGACCATTTCAGCCAATCATTGTGCAGCGATAACGAGCTGCAGGAGGACTCCAATCCGGAGGCGAGGTTCAAGGAATCCACCGACTTTGGGAAAAGCGGTTCTCCAGCTAATTGGTTTCCACTCCCACCGGTGCAAAGGCCCCATTCTGAGCAGCCATCCATCCAATCCAACCCAAACCCAGTCCATGCTTTCCGTTCCATCTCATCTCCCCTTCACCACCCTGTTTCTTATCCGATCGGATTGATTGGCACGGGAGAGCAGTCGGACACAACGGTCGGTCTGTCACCGCCAGAAAGACGTTGGACTTGATGGAGTCTTGCTTGCAAGGGGATGGGGATAGCAGTGGATGTATGTGTGGATATGTAAATAGTAGTAGTACTGTAGTAAGTGGTAACTGCACACTGACTCCCCTTCCCGTGATCATTGGAAATAGGATAGACCATTTCTACTTCCGAGGCTTTGGGAAGGGAACACCCATGTACACAGTAGTACTAGCAGTTGGTCTCGTGAACTCTTCCTAAGAGAGCAAGTCATCGCGGTCAAGGCGGCCAGTGGGTCTCTACCTCGGGTGGAGTCCGCTTGCCAATGAGAAACCACCCTATTTTGATTTGATGGGAGATCCACCGGTCGAGCGTTCCGTGGTCTGTAGCCGTCGCTCAGAGGCGTGTCTCTCTGTCTGTGTCAGTGTGTCTGTCTCTCTTTCAGCTGCCACTATTACAAAGCAGTCTATCCGATGGCGGTTGGAGTCCGCGTTAGGTGTCCGCTTTTTTTAATGGAGAAGCGGACCCTCATTCATGATTAATTGTGGTACCTTGCACGGTAGACTCCCGTGCTTACAGCAGAGTGAGTGATGTTGGCAGTTGGTGGGTTTGGAGAAGGGGAGAATAATGGGGACAGCTGTGTACATCGTGAGGAGTAGTGGGGGGAGGAACAATGGAGATGGCTCAAAGGGGAAAGTTATCAGATGCGGGCATTAATCCATTTTCGATGATGATACCGTGTTCCAAGTCCTGTTGCCACTAGACCGGGATGCATACTTGATTGCCTCAGGGTCGAGAGTTGGAAAAGGATGATACAAGGTTGACTCTGGGCCGCCCTGTGCATACCGCGGGGATGAATGAATCATCGATGGGCGGTATGGAGGGGAAAAGATACGGAAGATCCTCGATCGAAGGAATGCCCAGTGCGGGTGGGAAGCAAGAGGCGGTCAAGAGAGAGCAGGGGGGGTGTGGTGTGTGTATGGTTGTTGTCATCATGACTTTCGGCGGAAGGGGGGAAGGAATGAATGGATATCGAGTGGTATTGACTGGTTGGCGATGCAGCCATCCTCCGTCCAGTCTGGATATTACCGTGGACGGGCAGTACAAATGTCATGAATCTGCCAAGAACCGGGCAGAAGTAGATAGATTGGATGTATTACCTTTATTTTCATTTTCATATGACTATCACGGAGGAATTGCCGGTATACAGGGTAGCGAGTATATTGCATCTCTCGTCATCATTATCCCCCATCATAATAATACCAACTATTAAGACAATCGGAAACACCCAGCAGAGTAACACTCCGGCGTAGTATCCGATATTCGTCTAAATCCCGGCTTTGGAGATTATCTTCTCTTTCTCAGGGCGGCCTCGGTAAAATGCCGTGCTGGTTTGGGGTTAGTCTAACCTGAATCCGTCCGATCTGCTGTTACGGATTGGTAACGCCGGACGATCGGGGAGTCCGTCCAGTTCCAAACAAATCTCCTGGATTTTCCCTCCAGTCCTCGGCAACGGATTCGTCAGGGGAAAAACAATGGTTAGTCGAGTAAGAAATGAGTATGGGAAAAGGAAAGAAACGTGAAATAAGATGAACTATCAGTAGGTCACGATCACATTCTTATGACATCTTGCAGGGCGAAAGGGGTGAGAAAGAGAGGAGAATATTATCCGAAGAAGCAAATAAGATCCCCAAAAGTAAAGTAACATTCAAGTCGTAGTAGATACATCCAGTAAAAGTCGAGTAATAATATTCCCCCTTTGTTACTTACAGTGTAAGTAGGTACTAGGGTAGGGAAAGTAACTTCAAGTCAGTTATCGTCACGATCAAGCGTAACTTTCTGGGAGTGTAAGGTCGCCTCCGATCCTCCAACGGCTCCACTCCCTGCCTTTCTTCGGGACTTTCTAGCCTCAACCTAAGCCGCCGTCGGAACTACCTATCGAGTCCAAGCAGACGAGACTGCGCTGCTCGTCGGGTTAATTTAGCGTGTTCAAGGATGATGATAATTATTATTATCATCGGGGTCTCCATCCACTAGCGCATCTCCACAATGCATGGCAAAAAATCGCCCATTCCCTATTGCCCATTTCCATTTTCCACCCACTCCCCCATCCCCGTCCGGCGGATGCCACTTAATAATTCATTCATTCCTGCTGGGAGTGTCCTGTAGGAGTAGAGTCTCGCTCTCTTATTAGTAGCCCTTCATCGCCCACCATTATCACCTGCTTCTCCCCCTTCCCCTTCACTCGTCCCGATTCGTTTCGAGTACCACCCACCCACTACTTAAACAATTTTATCATCTCACTATTGACTCACTTACTTCCACTCCACCCCCCACGCGGTTTGCTTGTGCTGCAACCCCGATTCCCTGGATCGATCCTCTCTATATCGCCTATCTCCAGATCCCAGCGTCATCGCGAACTTTATCCCACCACTCTCCCGCTTGCCACTGCGATGCGCTTCTGGTTCCGTCCAGCTACTCTGTCAATGGCCATTAACTGATCTAATCCTCTGGTTACTGTTGGCATCATAACCCATCGATTCACTCGACACCTTACTGAAAGCGATAATTCATAATTCCCTCAACATCCGCTGCTATTAGTACTTGGTCTACTGTCACCTTATCTTCTACTTTTGACTTCCATCCTCTCAACTACTCTCCACTCTACCAACACTTGATAACCAACATCTCCTCCACCTTCTACCCAAATTCTTTCTCAATATTTCAACACCTGATATCATCTCAAATGGCTACCCACGTTGTGACTGCGACTACTACTGCCCCTGCTTTCACTGGCAAGCAAATCTCCGTCTACGGCCATCCCTCTCCTGTCAACTCGGCCGAGACCTCTCCCGCAAATAACTCTCCTACCTCTCCTCGCTATCAGCACTTGCCGCTTCAGTCGAAGCAACTTCGTCCCCTCAAGGGCCCTCTCTACGTTCCTGCTGCCTTGCGCCCGACTGAGCGTCCCCAGAAGGCCTCTTCTCCCCCGACTCCTCCCCGCAGCGTTCACGGTTCTCACGGTTCTCTCGACAGTCTGAACGAGGGCGAAGTTGGTGCACCTGTTACTCGTCGTTCGACCATGGAGAGCTACAACAGCGGTCCTGCTGTCAGCAAGCTGGCAGAGGATGAATGGATGAAAAATGAGCACCTGGGTGAGGTCACTGGTCTTCCCACTCGTGATCACTGGAAAGTAAGTGAAACCAACTTCTTCAGTCCCTTTGCCCCTGGGTGGACGCGTCTACTATATAGTGTTGTCATGACGCAAGCCGAGCTCCGGGTCGCGCCATTATTGCGTTGCGCGATATCGCGTGATCGCCATGACGACATCCAGGCAGCCTTGCAACAAACCCCCTTGCAAAGAAGCAAAAATGAACTTGTGCTAACAAAACCTCCCAACAGGCGGACTCTGCTTCCCCCAACTGCGACTCTCCTACCTGCCGCTCCTCTTTCGGTCTCTTCCTTCGTCGTCACCACTGTCGCCATTGCGGCCATGTCTTCTGCTCCTCCCACACTCCTCATGTCGTCCCGCTTGATCAGAATGCTCGCTTCCACCCCGATGGAGTTCCCTCCCGCGCATGCGACCTCTGCTGGAGCGCCTACCAGCGCTGGGAGGAGTCTCGTACCGAGCGCCTGAGCAAGATCCAGAGCCTGCTCGATGCCCAAAGCAGAGCCTCCGACAGTGACAATGAAGAATACAATACCGCCTCCGACCGCTCGGATATCTCGCCGGACGAGAATGCGAAGCCTGCCCTGACCGGAGTGTTGGCCCAGAGCACCGAGATCGCCGCCAGCGTCCCTCGTGGCTGGAACTGGAGCACTTTCTAAACTATTACGACAACTACGGCTGATGAACAACATGTCCATACCACCCATGTCCATTGACACTACGACATTGGGAAGCAACTTCACTTCATACATACCTGTTTTAGAACATACTTTTTGTCGCTTTTCGCTTCTGTTTTACACCGTGTGGGTTTGTTTTTTTTTTTTTTTCCAACGGTTTCGGTCATTGCTTGGAGTTTGCTCGGATGAATTGCGGATTAATGGCTAATGGGCTTTACGGGCGTTTGATTTCTTCTTTATTTGTGAGCTGCGACAGATCGTCGACAGAGATGCGGGGGGCTTCTTTTCTTAATCTTGTTCTCCTTTTACTACTCAGGATACCCCGTCATGGTTGCTTATGCGCGGCGATCTCTTTGTTGGTTCCTTGTTTTTCGCTTCGGTGTGAAGTTTACTTTATGAGCTGTGGAGTTTGACATCATCATGATATGCAATAGACTTATTCAATAACCAACCAACCAACACTCTATCCACGTAGCTGTATACCCACATGTAGATCTATCCTCTTAACATCCCTTCAATACATACACTATATACACACGACTCCCCAAATCTAAGAAGACCCAACAGACACTCTCCTCCACATCCCCACATGCTCAATCCCCTCCTCATCCCACCTCCCCAACGCCTCATCCGTCTCAAACCCCAACCTCTTATACATCCCCTCCACCTGCACCTGCGCATGCACCAAGACCAACCCCTTCCACTCCCCTTCGACCCCAGCAACACCCCTAAACGCCCGTTCAATCTCCCCCGGGTTATGCGCCGCCCATTTTAGCGCCTCATCCACCAACACGCGTCCCAGCCCATAACCCCTCCACTCCTTGACCACCGCCACCCTCGTCAGTTTCACATACGGCTCGCTTTTCAGATCCCATTTGGGGAGACTCGACGCTGTTTCAGGGTGCGTGAGGATCTCATGCGGTGCGTGGGGTGGTGGGACAAGACGGATAACGGCCACCGGGGTGGGGGTGGTGGTTTCGGTGTCTTGTTGTTGGTGTGCGTAGACTACCCATTGCCAGCTGCGCGGATCATCCGAGTCGATTTCACCGTCCGGCGTGCAGTTCTGCTCATGGACGAAGACGTCCCGGCGGATGAGGAGGGCCGTGGTTAGGGGGTCCGTGGGGGTTGCGAGGGTGGTTGTTGGTGGGTGGACGGTGAGTGGTGGGTTGGAGGAGGGGCCGGGGGGTGGGATGAGGGTTGTGGTGAATGAGGGTTGTTTGGTGGTTGTAGACATTGTGTTTCAGGGGCGTAGAGGTGGTGTTTTAGGGAGGTGTGG